ACTTCTCCAGTGTGTGTGTTGTCTTTTGGTGATGACTGTAGGTTAGCTGCTCTGGCAGGGACACATAGAAGCCAATGTTAATATTCCTGGGGTGTCTGTTTGTCTCTCTACCTTTCTCTTACATCAAACACACACACACACACACACACATTCATGGTTCTGCCTCCGCACTGGCTGCAACACCATGATGTCACCTTTCGTCTGATTGGCTGTGAGGCTGCTGAGAGGAGGAGGAGAAGAGATGCTGTGGGGACAGAGCGAGAGAGGAAGGGTGAGGGAGGGAGAGGCAGTGGAGGCGAGGTAGAGAGATATGGGAGAAAATGCCGGCACTTCTGTGGGTGAAGGATTTTTCTGGCAGCGATGTGAGGTGTGTGTGTGTGTGTGTGGTTGTAGTTCCAATATGAAGTGTGTGTGAGGAGTGTCCATGTGTCAAGGGGTACAGCTTGGAGCAGAGGGGGGGCCCTGATACCTCTCCCTCCCTGAAGGATGAGACGACTTATCTGCCAGCGGATCTGTGACTGTGAGTGAAGGGATGGACCTCGGAGATCCAGTGTTTATTGCCGACTGCGTTTGTGTGTATGAATGTCAGGGGATTGGTGATGGTGAAAGTCTTCTTCTTGGTGTCCAAAAGTCCCAGCAGGCTGTGTGTTGTTAGCCTGTTGCAGGTGAGTTGATGTATGAGTCAAGCTGGTGGGTGGTGGCCATGGCGCATATCTGCACGGCTGGTTGCGAAGAGCGACCGGAGTGCCACAGCAGCCACCAGTTTAATCTCCACCGTGTGTGTATACACATATATGTATATATATATATATTTGTATAATGTCTTGCAGACATGTTTGTGTTGCAAGTGTGTGCTTGAGTTTCACTCCCAGCTCTCCTTCCGTTGTAGTTTCTACTAGCATTTGGACTCCTGAGACTTCTGTCGATGATGATGTGTGTGTATGGGTGGACGGCTCAATCGTTGGATGTGTTTTCGGGCTCCTTAAAGTGCTTTTTATATTTGCATGGGTTTGTTTTTCTGGCATCATCTTTTCTTTTATGTTACTAGTGATGTTATTGTAATTAGTATTGATTTGGTGATTCTGAGCAGGCTCTCTGCAGACTTCAGCCTCCCACGTCTCGCCTCAACACAACCTCCAGCTCCTTTTACTCAGCATAAAAAGACAGCTGAAAGAAAAATCGTTACGATACGAGTTGGTAAAATAATTTTCTCAGTCATGTGTTATAGGTCTGCTCTGAGGTTTCAGCACGTGTTTGCTGATTTTCCAAATGTTCGAATGATTCTGCAATGTAGGAACAAAATGAGTAGTCGGTCTGATGTTTAGACCAGGGGCTGAAGCTCTGATTAGGGAGAGGTTGATGAATGTCCACTGTGAAAATCATGAACCCATATAACATTGAAATCTTTAATAGGCAGATCTATTTATACAATCTCAACAGTAACAGAAACCATTAGTGTCATTTTTTCTCTAATCTGCACAGAGGTAGGCCTGGATGTACTGAGCCTGGTGTGTATGTACAAGGCAACAAAAGTTGTAGATTAGTTGTGGATGTTATTTGTGTAGAAACAGCACAGATAACTTGTTGTATGTTGTTTCAGCCTGTTTCAGTAACAGTGTTGTGCTTTCTCTTCTCTTCCTCTAGATCGCAGCTATGAAGATGATGACAGTGTGGATGGGAGTCGGTCCTCTTCAGCTCAAGCTGCCTTCAAGGTCCCCAAAGTTCCCAAAAAGCCAGCAGAAACATCAGCTGCACGCAGACCCAGCGCGACTAGTGGGAAGCTAGGTACGTCACAACGGAAACACTGTTTTTTAGACCCACTAGAGTCCGACCTTTTCAGCCGTTTTATCACACAAATTTAAATATTCATAAAAAGAAACATGTAATTCTTTATAAATAGGTTCAAATCTTGTTAAAGTACAATGTTTTGGACAGACACAGAGTTGGACACAGTCCATGTTCCTCTTTTTGCCCTCATACCTGTGCGGGTATCTCCAGACTGCAGCATTTCTTCCCATAAAATCCTTCCTGTGGAGAGTATGTCGTCTTCACTGCCAAGATCCCCCCCCACCCAGATGAATGAAGTGGTTACGGTCACTTCCTCTCACCATCTATTGATTTTCATCCCAGCCTCTTTATTTCTCTTGGTAGACATCTTTGTTCACAGGACCGTTCTGTCGATCAAATGTGTTTTCCGTCAGCACTGACTGGTACATGCAGTACAAATGGTCAGTTTGAATGTGAGAACATTGTTGTTGCTGGTAAAAAAAAACAAGTAAGACTTTTTTGTGTCATTTGGGCTGTTGAAGCCTTATTGATTTGGAGGAAGTGGCCAGAGTCAAATACCCAGCATGCTGAGTATTTTAATGACCTTGACTTAAAAAAAACAAATCATTAGCATTGACTGGAATCGTTCACTGATGTGAGTTTGTGTATGTCGTGAGCATTTTCTTCCATTTTCTAAGTCTTTGTCTGCAAATTCTGCTGCAAATAGTCGACATGACTGCTGTGATGGGAGGACTGATGCTCTGCATGTTGATGACAGAACGCCCACACAGGCTGGCAACACTCCACTCTGACAGACAGATCTTTGAATTGTGCCAATGTCGGAGAGTGAATACTGACAAAGTCAGTAAAAACAGTAACAGTTTGAAGCTGCATCATGAAGGATAATGTGATCTACTGTATGACAAAGGTCAGGATGGTCTAATGTCAAGGCTAAAAAATCTGGTAACTTTCTGTTCAGGTTGGTGAGAGTAAAACCTGTAATTTGGAAATGCACGTCCATCTCTCTTTAACAGAGTCAGATCTGGACTTCAAACTGACCAGTGATGCACTTTCACCCCCATGTCATCAAAGCTGGTCTTGAAAATCCATCCCTGCATTATATTCTAAATTAAGCTCCAACATTTATGGTGACTTTTAATCCACAGTTATCAGCATGTCATGGCTCCTCATGGAGTCCAACACATATGCCTACCCACCTGTGCTGTCTTTGTACCTTATGTCGCCTATGTCTTTTGGCCAGCCTCAGCACGGGCAGTGAAAACTCCTGGTGTTTCTGCACAAAACTGAGGCTCTCAGCTGTGATATCCTGAAACAGTCTTGAGCTGTTACCATGTGACACCATGATAGAAAAGCAATTTCGAATGCAGCTTGACCTAGAGCATTCCACCAACACATGTTTTATTGCAGTCATTTTCCCTGATTATTATGTTGTGTGTAGCTTGTTCTATCATAAAGCTAACAGTTCAAACTGCTCCGGCGTTCGGTGTTGTGTGTTGCCCAGGAGCAGCTGCTGTTATTAAACACCCTGAGTCATAGAATATGCAGTGATTCCAATCTCTTTTGGCCACATTGCAGATCTCCAGTCCCCTCAAAGTCACGTTGAGTTTTGTCATTGATTTAATTTTGTTATTGCCTTAAATCAGGAAGAGGAGGATTCTTCTGTTTCCTCTGTGTCTCTGTTATCTCCCTGCAGCCACATTCACAGATCTTCTTCAGCGTTCTTCTCAGTTCAGATGTATTTTAAGTACCATCTGCCTGGACTGCTCTTAGCTTTTCTGTTTATTTGTATTTTTTTCACAGTGTGTGGCATTCCTTTGTCTTGTTGTTCCCGTCTATTGTGTCGTTAAAGTGGAGGTGTGGTCAGCAGGGCTCCCAGCCTTCAGAGAACAAAAATGATTGACATTCCCATTACTACCAGGAAGTCCATTAAAAACACAGGCTGCTGTCACTGACTGAAGCATCTGTGTAGTTTTTTTTTTCCTTCATGTAAAACTAGAATCTCAACCCTCTGCCCGTGGTGGAATGTTATAGATGGACACTCACACTTTTGTCTCTTCCAGTATCTAAGGACAGTGCCGGGGGAGTGGACGAAGATGACTTTGTTAAAGCTTTTACAGACGTCCCTACTGTTCAGGTACAGGATACATACATAAAAAAACATTTTGTCGCTGTTCATTATTATTCTGCTCCTGCTGTTTTCTGTTATTTACTTCTCTTTTTTTTTTTCTTCAGATTTACTCAAGTAGAGACCTCGAGGACAACCTTAACAAGATTCGTGAAATCTGCTCCGATGACAAACATGACTGGGACCAGAGAGCCAACGCTGTCAGTAGAGTCACTCCAATGCCTCTAGACTTCATCTGTAACATTAAGACATTTGTTAAAGTTGTATTTTTGCCATGTTGTTTATCAGATGAAAAAGATTCGCTCCCTGCTGGTGGCTGGTGCAACCAGCTACGACTGCTTCTACCAGCACCTGCGTCTCTTAGACGGGGCTTTTAAGTTGTCTGCTAAAGATCTGCGATCGCAAGTGGTTCGCGAGGTCTGCATCACTGTGGCGTGAGTAGTGACGAGATATTTTTACCACTCAGGCATCCTCTTGTACTTTCTCTTTTGGCAGCTCTCTCTCTCCAGGAGTCGACACAGAAGATCATCCTTCTGTACCTTCTGTCCTTCTTTAGCAGACACTGCCTCAAAAGTGGGACAGAATCACAATTATAGTTTACCTGTTTACCAGTATTTTACTCTAAATGATAACATAATGATAATAATTGCTATAAAAACCTGGGTCTTTGTACTATAATATTTCTTTACCTTCTAAAACTGGTTTATCTCTTTGTACTGACATCAGTTTGTCTGTTGTTGTTGTTTTTTTGTCTTCTTCTTGGCTCATCTTGTAGCCACCTGTCCACAGTGCTGGGAAATAAGTTTGACCATGGTGCAGAAGCCATCGTTCCTGTTCTGTTCAACCTCATCCCCAACTGTGCAAAGGTCATGGCCACCTCCGGTGTGTCTGCGATCCGTATCATTATACGGGTACGACGTTTTTAACAAGTGCTGCTGATTCAGAAATTCCTTCTCCGGCTTTATTTACTCGCTCTATAGTCACTGTTGGATCTGCGTCAGGTCTTCTTATCTATTCTCTTTCACTGCTCCCTCTCTGCAGCACACACACGTTCCCAGACTCATCCCTTTGATAACTAGTAACTGCACGTCCAAGTCTGTGGCTGTTAGAAGGTGAGGTCACAACCGTTCAAGTCTAAATTTGTGATATCCACAGTGGTGTTTTTTTTGTGGCGATGAGACTGATGGAAACATTTCATCATCAGGCGCTGTTATGACTTCCTGGACCTTCTGCTGCAGGAATGGCAGACACACTCTTTAGAGAGGTGAGCACCACGATCACTGTTGTTTTACTAGTATTGTGATGTACAGGTGGTTCCTAACACCTGGTGTATTTTGTAGGCACACAGCAGTCTTGGTGGAGAGCATCAAGAAGGGAATTCGAGATGCAGACTCGGAGGCCAGAGTGGAGGCCCGCAAGTAAGACACAGACACGCAGGCATTTCCTAAAGTGACATCATGCGGAAATGAACATTTCACCACCCTACATTTCCTGTTTGAACCAGCTGCTTTTTTTACACCATCAGCATCCCATCCATCATGTGTCTGCTTACAGATGTCATCTTTCTATCCTCATCGTATCTGTCCTGTCCTTTTTTTCTCCCTCTTTGCTGCTTCTCCACTCTGCCAGAGCCTACTGGGGATTAAGGAACCACTTCCCATCAGAGACCGACGCTCTCTACAACTCCTTGGAGCCGTCGTACCAGAGGACCCTTCAGTCCTTCCTGAAGAGTTCTGGCAGCGTGGCCTCGCTTCCTCAGAGTGACCGCTCCTCCTCTTCCTCTCAAGAGAGCCTCAAGTAATCCATGCTCAAAGCTCTGCCTCCAGTGTTAGGTTTAGACTCTGACTTACTGTGTGGACCGGGCTTTACCCTTTAGTTTCCTGTCACCCAGCATCAGTAGAAAATCATCGTAAAGAAGGCCAGAGGGCTGTTTAACCCATTTACTGCTCTGAAATCTTTAA